TCAAGTTTTAGCTGTCACAAATTACACAACCTTGTATTATTGAATCATGGTATAAACACATATTTTTGGTTATGTAAAAAATTTACATAATATGTGTGTACATAAATCATCGATTAAACTATAAAAGCTGCTGATATTCGATGGTTGCTATGTACATATGAACATATGTGTATATGTATTAGGCTGGGTCGATTTTGTATGGAGGAAAATAAAAGGCATTTCACCGTATTGTAATAGTAATATTATGATGTCTTAGGTCTAAGCCAATTGTTATTGGCCACGAAAGATTGATTTAAAACTTATCTTTGGCCCGCGCAATTGAATCAAGGTGTATGAATTTTGAAAATGAAACTTTGGCTTTTAATATCTATAGAATGCGATAATTGTTTTAAACAGGACGATATATTAAATTAAGGGTTATTAAATTTAATATCTCACGTTAATTTATCATTTTTCAATAAGTCTACAAGTTTTTAAGATATTAAGATAAAACTTACAAAAACTATAATTTTCCCTTATGAATTTTCAATTCTTCATTACTTTAGCAACCAAGTGAAAAATACAAAAAAGTGAGACGAAATTTATTTCAAATGTTTATTAAAAGGACCATGGACTTGGTCACGCCGATTTGGTCAGTTTTCAAGATCGTGGTGAATGAAGTCAAAGATTAGGAATCCTTTGATAAGTTAATAGTTAACATAATAATTATAAGTTAGTTCATTAACATAATACAATTAGGGTGAGAAATGCCCATTTTAAGTCCATTTATGCAGTCTTCAAAATTGGTGCGGAATGGTTTCATTACTCACCGAAGAAGCATATTTTTCGCGGTTTCTAAATGTGCCGTTATATGTAAGTATTTAGATATACATAAATATTTTATTAAATTCCATTATGTGAAAAACTGACTGTAGGTAAATGCAATAGTCTTTAAAATATCCTGGGAAATCCTTTTGAGGACTCTCCAATTGGACAATATTGCTTTGCATTCAGCTTGAACGAAAATAGTCACTCCCTGGCACACTTTTCTGTAGTCCGGTTTTTTTCTTTTAAAGGTTATTTATACAATTGAAGAGAAATTGTTTCAGAAAAACAATAGAGATCCACTTAAGTTTTTTTGATATAACTTTGGTTACTCGATCGGTACGTAATAATTACCAAATTGAAGGCGAGACTGATTTATGATAATAATATGATGAAAATCGTTCAGATTATAAACAACTTATTTAAAAAATAAAATAAAAATGTTGAACAAAATGTTTTGTCATTTTCCTATATTTGAAATTTTTATATTGTATACATATACATAAGTAAACAAATTTGTGTTTCTAGAAGTTTTGCCTGTTCAGTGTTTCCATACTCATTTGCAGAAACAACATTTTTCCACGATGATGGAAAATAATGACTCTTCTATTAGAGCTACCGAAATTGTTCCTAAATTTGCAAAATTCGCAAACTATAGCCAATATTAAAAAATATTAGAATATTTGGAACCAGCGACCTAAATGCACACCAGCAATTTTAAGGCTGTTCTTTCCATCTTTTGACTATAGGCCAGTGCAATTATCAAGAGAATAATTAAAATTTTATTGAACACAGATAACTTTGAGATTAACGATAAGTTAAGGGCTGCGAGAAATGGTATTTGACTTTATCTTTTGAGTTGACGGATTCATTATCTAATAATATGCACCAAACCTTCTTGCTGAACCCAAAATTTTTAACAAGAATTGGTCTTATTCGACTAGTGTGCTGTGGGTCACTTGGCGGTCGATGCACGGGCTCTTACAATTAAAATAAAAGACTAATATTTTGCAGGCTTGTTGTTGACTTCATGATACAATATATTTTCACTATTACTAAGGGATTTGAGAAAAATTAGGTTTTCGACCCGCCCTAGTGTGTATGTACCGGAGCTCATGTGGCCAAGGAGCTCATCAATATTTATTAAAAATTGATATATACAATAGCTCTTTAGCAAAAACGCGGTTTTTCAAGAAATTTCAGGAAAAGGGGGTGACGTATCTCAAAAACTACTTGACCGATCTCAACCAAATTTGGTGAACACTTTGCGATTATGCTTCTTAAGCTTTTTTAAATCGGACAAAAGCCACGGGCTCCACCAACGTAACGGCAATTTCAAAAAACTCAAAGCTAGCTATATTTTAGGAGGAGTAGGTTGTGTCCGATTTCCAAAATTTTCAAAACGGTACTTAAAGAAGCTAAGCGAAATGTGTGTACCGAATTTGGTCGAGATCGGTTAAGTAGTTTTTGAGAAACGCGTATATCATATAAGTGGGCGTTGCCACCCCCATTTTCCTAAAATGTCTTGAAAACCACTTTTTTGCTAAAGAGCGATTGTATATATCAATTTTGAGTAAATATTGATGAACTCCTTAACCACACTGCTCAAAAAATCTGAAATTTCGGTACATACACACATATAAATTCAAGGCCGTATTGAAGAAAAGTCGCCTAAATTCGACAATTTTTATGCGATTGCAATTTATTTGAAAATAGATTTAATTTTAGATAGTACTCCATATTTTGAAATTGTATAAATTATCGATGATCACAATTTAAAAAATTGAGAGAAATATGGGTCTTTTTTTAATTTACCCTATAAAAAATTCCAACAAGCCTACTCCGACAATAGATTTTTATATTCCATTTTAAAGGCCTATATATCCCGTTCTCAGATCATATTCGATCTTTGAAATCGAATCAAAAATAGTCATTAAAAAATTCGTAAATCTTCAAAATCCTATTTTCTGACCTAAATTGACAAGTCGCGACCTCTAATGACCTCAAAAAAATCTATAAAACTAGGCAATAATATTTCTCATAATAACGAATAAAAGTAGGGGGTAGGGTCTTGAAATTTCCAAAAAAAAAAGCATTTCTTTCGATGAGCACCGTAATACACATGCAAAAACACCAACATCTGCATAGCTATGCCGCAACTAGGTGGCGAAAGCAGCATTTACAAATTTCGGGTTCAGTGCAGTGATTCACATGATAAATCAAACTCCGTTGAGCTGAGGATCAAACTTGTTGGGGATGGTATGAGTATGATGAGGGCATCGTATTCATATGGAGGGCAACTTATGCACATAAATCAATGTCGGTGTGCATATGTGAACATCAGAGTGGTGGCGTTTCGCTCATTTAGACGTACTTATATCCAAAATATGCTGAGTGGTGGGGAACATCAAAATACGCACTCTTTGCTGATCTCTGGTAACCACCTAAGCTCGGTTCTGTTCTTGTTTTTATAAACGATATTTTTACAGATTATGTAAAGCTTTATAAATTGTACGTTTCAATAAAAGAAAAGTCTTAGCTACAAACCGACTTAAACAGCATGGCGAACTGGCGTAAAATTAATCGTATGCCTCTGAATCTTAAAAAATGTAAATAATTGTGCTTCTCGCGAAGAGCTGTTTAGACAGTTTCCTCTACAATAGGTAACCATAATCTGGAACAGGTATACAATTTTGTGGACCTCGGTATCACAATGGATACTAAACTTAATTTGAATCTTCACATTAATGTGACAGCCAACAGCAATTTAGTGACCCTTATATCACTAAAACCCTCTTTACAACATTAATTATACCGATTATAGAATACGGTTCGGTGGGTTTGGAATACAAGGTATCAAATTTACTCAGGTTTTATATTAAGTCAATCGTAACAACCAAGAATATCATTATCTTATTTAAAGTTGGTTGGTTGGTTGGTTTAAGTGGATTGTCACTCAGGTGACAAGCAATTAGCAAGTTTGCCATTTTGATTTCACAACTCGTGCAACCTACAGCCATTTGGCGGCTTTAATAAATTTCAGTACGTCATACAGAGAGAGGCAGCTGCACTCTGAAATATTCTGCAGGAATGGTTTGCCGAGTGTATTTAGCCTCATCCTTGCGAGGGCTGGACACTCGCACAGCAAGTGTTCGACTGTCTCTTTTGAGCCCGGGTCATCGCAGCTGCGACAGAACCTATTGAAGGGCAGTCCTATCCTTTCGGCATGTACCCCAACGGGCCAGTGCCCTGTGCACACTGCAGTAAGTTTGTAGGCATTTGTTTTGCTCATTCCTAAGAGAGCTTTGGTTTTGAGTGGGTCGTAGGACACCCAGAACTGCCGGGCAATTCTGTAGGATCCTGTGCAGTTCCACCTCTGCCTGGCCTTCGAATGATAAAATTCGGTAATTTTTGTCTTAATCTCCCTGAGCGAGGCGCCCATGTCCACCGCGTGGGACATATCCAGTGCGGAGCCGCTCCTTGCTAGTTCGTCCGCTGCCTCGTTTCCGTAGATGCCCCTATGTCCCGGGACCCATATTAGGGTAATTTCGTATTGATCAGAGATATAGGCCAGCTCTCTCCTACATTCATCCACTAGCTGAGATCTAACAAAGTTAGAGGAAAGTGCCTGAATAGCCGCTTGGCTATCCGAGAGGATGTTCACTTGCGTTCTCGCGGGTACATTGTCTTTGATGTACCTTACTGCCTCCTTAATAGCAAACGTTTCGGCCTGGAAGACGCTTGCATAGTCTGGTAGGCGGAAGGATAATTTTAGGTTATATTGCTCAATGAAGACCCCAGCACCAACCCCGCATTCCATCTTTGACCCATCCGTAAAGACAGTTAAGCCCTGCAAGTACCCGAAATCTTCCTGATTCCAGTCACTGCGGCTTGGGAATTTCGTGCGGGGTTTGTGGTGAACCCAGGTCTTCGACAGGATATAGTCAGTGGGCAGCGCTTTAATTTCAGACGGTATTGCGTCTAGGATGGAACCGTGCCCGAACGGTCTTTCCTTCGAGATCCCCAGGGCACGCAGTCTGATGGCGCTGTTAGCAGCTGAATTCTCGATGAATATATCTATAGGTAATAAGTCAAGAAGGACGTTCAAAACGTCCTTCGGACAGGATCTCATTGCGTCTGTTACGCTAGCGGCTGCTGACCTTTGAATTCCGCCTAGCTTTTTAACTACGTAATCCTTAGTAAGGGCTGGCCACCAGACCAGCGCCCCATAAGAGATTATGGGTCGGACTATAGCTGTGTACATCCAGTGCACAATTCTTGGTTTCAAACCCCATCTGTTGCCCAACATTCTCTTGGCCGCATAGAGAGCCACCGTGGCCTTCCTAGCACGCTCCTCAATGTTTGGTTTCCAGTTAAGTTTGGGATCCAAAATAACTCCAAGGTATTTCACCTTCATTGACAGATCCAGTTCCGTTCCTCGGAACCTTGGTTTATTAAAATTTGGTAATTTTGTTTTATTTGTGAAAAGCATAAGGTCAGTTTTCTCCGGGTTTACGCTAAGAGAACAGCTTATGGCCCAGGAATCTACTATCTTTAAAGTCCTTTCCATAATTTCACTTATGACCGAAGGAAACTGACCCGATACCAGTATCGCTACATCATCGGCGTAAGCCACCGCTTTGATTCTCTGAGAGTCCAGCTTTACCAGTAGTTTGTTTAAGACCATGAGCCATAGTAACGGTGATAGCACTCCTCCCTGTGGGGTGCCTCTCACTGCATATACGGCCCTGCTTTGGTACCCCAGTTCGGCATGTATTACTCTGCTCCTTAGCAGAGACACTATCCAAGCCCGGACACAGTGATCAATCCCTGTTTCCATAAGTGCCTCATGGATGGAATCTACACTGACATTATTAAAGGCCCCCTCGATGTCTATAAAGGACGCCATTGTAAATTGTTTATAGTAGAGCGAACTCTCAATTGTACGTACCACTTCATGTAGGGCAGTCTCCGTTGACTTCCCTTTCAAGTACGCATGTTGAGAGCATGATAAATTGGACGTCTTGTCCCTAACATACAGATCCAACAGCCTCTCAAACGTCTTGAGCACGAAGGACATTAGGCTTATTGGTCGGAAATCTTTAGCATTGTCATGACCCCGTTTTCCCGCTTTAGGAATAAAAATTACCTTAATCTTCCTCCAGCTTAACGGAACGTGGTTCAGTATTAGGCACCCTCTAAAAATTGTTTCTAGGACTGGAATGACCATCTCAGAAGCTTTCTGAAGCATGACTGGTAGTATTCCGTCCATACCCGGTGATTTATAGGGTGAGAAGCTGAAGATAGCAAATTTTATCTTTTCCCTCTCTAGTAGCTCCTCTAAGAGGTCTTCGGAGAGGGTTGGTATATGGTCTGGGGCATCGGTTTCCACTACATCGATTTTGCACCCTGGAAAATGTGTATTCAGAAGGATATCCAGCGACTCCCCAGCCGACTCGGTCCATGAACCATCTGACCTTTTTATATATGTTGGCTGTGAGTGCCCTTTGGCAAGGATTTTGCTTAATCTCGCAGATTCCTTGGTATCCTCGATGGATTCGCAGAATTCCCTCCAGGACGCCTCCTTGGCGTCCCGTATCGCTTTTTTGTATTTCTTTAGGTTCTCTCTGTATAGGTCCCATACCTTAATCCTGTAGCATTCGTTGAAGGATTTTCTTACTTGCTTCCGTAGCGCTGTAAGGTTCTCATTCCACCAAGGTGTGCGCGCTTTCTTGCCATACCTCAGCGGACAAGCCTTCGTAAGGGCCTTTCCGAAGGCCTTATTCAGGCTGTCCGCTTTGGCGTCCAGCTCGCCCCTTGTAGGAATGTCTTCAACTGGTAGTTTCTTCAATTCTTTTCCAATAACCTTTTGAAATAAGTCCCAATCTGTTTTACGAGGGTTTCTAAAGGGAGTAGGCGTATCCGCCGCAATATTTAGCTCAAAGAGTATTCGACGGTGGTCCGAGAGGGTCTCTTCGTCGGATACTCTCCATTTATTGACCTTTAGGCTCCCCTCGGTCAGCAGAGTTAGGTCTAGGACCTCTTCCCAACCGCAAAAATCAGGGGTACTAGGAAATATGAAGGTGGGAGTACTACCTCTATTACAAATCCTAAACGTAGAATCAATAATAAATTGAAATAGCGACTCACCTCTTTCGTTGGTTTCCGAGCTGCCCCATAATGTATGCCGTGAATTGGCATCGCAGCCGAGTAACACTGGACTAGCTCCTGCTAGCCTTTGTAAAGTGACGACTTCCTGTGGCGGACACGGCCTGTCGTGCGCCATGTATACGGATGATATAAGACAGCTTTGTTTATTCATCAACTCCAAGTTGACGACTGTAGTATCCGGTGAGCTGAAATTGGAACATAAGAAAGCTTTAATATGTTTTTTAACCAATACACACGCGCGGGGTTTACCTGATATACTAGTGTAGAAGAGGTTATAGCGGGCGTCAGTGAGTCCCTTAACCTCTAGGTCCCTTACCCAAGGTTCCTGTATCAACGAGATGTCGATGTCTTCCTCCCTTAGGAAGACCAGGAGCTTGTCCGAGGCAGCCTTAGAGTGCCTAAGATTTGCCTGGACCACCTTCATCGACTTTCTCGGCATTGTTAACTGGCCCTGTGCCTGCCAGCACCTGGTTGGCATCTTCAGCGACCTCTTCGTCCGCGGTAACCTTGAGGTTCATATCGCCCAACATCTGGTTGGCATCCTCGATATCAGCCTCTGGAATCGGCTCATTGGAGCGGAATATTTTTAGTTTCGCTGTTCTCACCCCGAAGAGCAGCTTGTTGTCCATTTTTTGCAATGGCCCAATACTTTCTTCGTTAAGCCTCAGAAGGTACGAAGAACTCTGCGCGCCCTCTAGAGGCTTTTCTGCACGAATGACTACCCAGTCACTCATGGGTATTTCTGGATTCTGCCGTTGCAGGAAGCGGATCAACTTGTCGCTATCCATAGCCATCTTCGGCAGCCAAATGCGGGCCCTGGGTTTCCTAGGTACCTCCTCGGCAGGGATTAGTTTGAACTTCAAACCCTCCCAGGCGTTGCCGAGCTCGGCTACGCACTTGCCGAGGAATTCCCTAGAGAACTCATCTCTACATTTGAAAATCCGGCAACCCCTCAGGGACTCACTGGAGTCAAATCCTGGAATAGGGTTGTCCGGATTTTCAAACAGGTAGTCGCCCACCCGTTCAGAGAGTTTTGACTCGATCTCGACCCACCTCTCCTGAACGGGCTTACCGCTGCCTGTGGCTTCGTCGACAAGCGCGACCTGAAGGTGATCCCTGGCCACCTCACAGTACCGTCGTTTCGCCAACGTTTCTTCTTGCTGGGGCGTGCTTTTTGTGTCCGCCCTTTTTCCAGCTGGTTCTGTTGTAGACTCCTCCTTAGGTCTACGTCGTTTGACTGCCACAGGCTTCTTGGTTGGTTTTGAAGTAAGGTACCTCCTGTACTCCTCCACCACTTCATTGCACCTGCGACTGTCTTCTTCATCCTTGGGGTGTACAGTACCGGCCGCTGCATTCTTGGCAATCTTGTCAAGAATGACGACAGCCCTGTTGTACCTCGACCTGAGCGCCACCCCGAGGACTTGGTTTTCCTCCTTTCTTGCTTTGGAGTGCTCCCTGGAGCACTCAACGCTGCCTTTGAGGAAGATGGGGTATTGTCGGGATCGCTAGGCTTAGCGCTCACCGGTATTGTTGTCGAAGAGCGTGCAGAGTCCTGACTGGAAGCGAGGAGCACGTCCTCCTCTGCGCCCAGGATGTCTTCCGAGACATCTCTCCTCTCTTCGAATTTTGTGTTTGTGTTTTGTTTTTTGTTTTTATTATTGTTTTTGTTCATTGTTGTTTGTTCCCACGAGTATGCTCGGAAGGGGTGGTCCACCCCGGCATACCGTTTATTTAAAGTATTCAGCATATTGTATTTAAATAATTGTTGATATAATTCAGCACAACTCAAAGAAAAGGCACATGATTCGTTATTTACTAAATTATTCTGCTTTCAATAATGCAATTCGTTGAGGTACAGATAAAAATTCCTTTAATACTAAGTCAGCATTAACATCCAGATTGCGATGAATATTGAGAAAAGCTAGCCCATTGAGAAGATCCTCTTTCATAGTTTTTTCATAGTATAGTTTAAATAAGTTTTTAGGCGGCACAAAGTTGATAACGTTCATATAATTCACACACCTTGATTGGCGTAAAGTCAATGCCAGAAGATTCGAGAAAATTCTGTAAAGTATTAGCTAATCCTGCACCAGTAAAATCGCTGACGGGAGTGAATGTACTGAAATCTTCGCAAATTTTATAAGTCTTGGTGCGTTAGGTGCATATAGAAATTTATTCAATGACTGAAATGTCCGAAGTCTCGTCTCCTAATATGGAAAAAGCCTTTGATTTGTTGACTCGATCAACAATTTGTTGCTGGATTAAAGTGTGACAAGTTCCAATCAATTCATTTTGAAAGCGATGGCTCGTGTAGATAGCACTTTTCGATGAATGTTCTAATTGTTGTTTCAATTCAATGTCACCTTTAGCTCGATATCTTAAAAGCGCACGAAAGTTTCCATCGTTAGTTGCAGGTTCTTCTGATGAAATTTTGCTTCTCTCTTAAGATTCACGCAATGCCAAACCCTGACGACCACACAGAATGACCGGCTCGATTATAGGAACTAAAAGTGATTTGCTTTTTTCTATAAAATCGAGCTTTTGTTGAGATAATTGTAAATCAATCGGTAAAGTTGTCTGTCCATCAATATTAGCTCGCAAATAGGTCTTTTATTTTAGCTTCAAAGTTCAACATAAAACAATTCTGCAGATGCATAAGTATTAAAGCAGTATCTTAAATATTTTAATTAAAATCTTATAAATTTAGAATTTACACTTAGGTCTGCGGTTTATTTTTATGCGGATTTGAATTCATGCGGTAAAAGTGTAAAAATCAGTGTTAGCTGTTCAATAAATGACTATAGGTAACCTTAGGGTCAAGGTGTAGGAATGGTATTTTCAGGGATTGAAGTCAGAAGTCCAAGCCTTAATTTAAGCCTAAGTGGAAGGTTCTACCAAGTTTTGCTTAATTGGGGTAATCAGTTTCTCCTGTTCACCAAATTACTATAAGTGACCATCAAGCAAAGGTACAGGAATTTACAGGGATCGTAGTCGAGATTTTTAGTTCTAATTTAAGCCTAAGTGGAAGGTTCTACCACCCTTTGTTTCTTGACTAGGGCTTATCAAATATTGCAAAAAACGCGATTTTTTGACACTTCCACCTCGTTGTTCTTAATATCTGGAGCTGATGGAAACTTTATGCTTACGGATTCGTAATCAGCACAAACAATCTGTCAAAAATAGCGTTAACATTTGCTGCATCAATTTTTTCCCCATTAAATAGCGAATACCCGCATGTTTGCGGCGCTTTCAAAAACCTTTCGAACTGTAAAACAATATATTCTACGCATATATGTAGATACATGGTAAAAGGATCATAGCTTGCGCTACCGCTTCATCTCACTCTCTCTCTCTCGCATAGCAGGCATATGGAGTTCGTGGTTGCCTTGATGTGCACCTATACACCATACGGGCATATTGAGCTCGATACATAAACACTCGCAAAGGTATTCCCTACCTCCTCTACTACTCTAACTCGACCACACATTTAAACCTGGTCTCCCGCTCCCACTCAGCTAACACCAATATATCGGTATCTGGTTGGTCCATTTATCAGAAAAAATATCATTTACATACATTTTATACGTGACAAATGGATTGTTGTTTTAGCGTAGCACGACTCCTGCACCACCTATCGGAAAAATTGAAACTTTGCGCACTCCTTCTTCTAAACACCTTGCCAAAAAAGCAGCAACCATTCGAATCGGTTATGAAACATAGGATAAAATTGGTCCCAATTGATTATGCTAACAATGAGTTTCACAATTATCCTAAATTTTCCAAGCTTCACATCATCAAAATCAAGCGATAAAATGCAAAATTTCGTCGAAAAAAGTTAAAATTTTTCGCGTTATTCCGGATTTTTCCAAGGTTTTCACTTAGAATTTTCTATTTTGCCATTAGAAAGCCATTCCGAAAGAATTGCACAAAAAATTGCATACAAAAAAAATAAATTTTCGATTTCTCTGATTTCCCGACTTTCCCGGAGGGTTTTCCCAAAATTTTCTTTCGTAAAAACCTTCTCCTGGCAATTACGAACAACCAAACAAAAAAATTTAGCCAAATCGGCTCAACCGTTCTCAATTGATGAATTACTATAAGATTTTCACACCATTTTTATATATACATATAGATAAGGAACAGCTGTTCGTCAATAGCGGTTTCTGACTGAAGTTTTTTGCAAAAGTGTACATACATATGTATCTTTTCCTGTCATAAATATATCGATGGTCCTCTACAATAACGACACAATTCAAAATTCAAAGAATAAAAAAACTCGTACTATTGTTAAGTGGCTCGTGTCTTTAATTATTGTCTTATTCATGTATAATCTTTACAACTTTAGTTGGGACTAGACATGGGTTAGCCAAGGATTAGAGACATGAGTTTCTTAACAGTAATAAGGGATTTGGTATGTGAATATATATATTTCGATAATGAAATAAATTCAAGCATAAATACGATTTTTAGCTACATATACATATGTAACTCAATTTCAGCGCCACCTGGCGGCAAATTTTTTTCGAAAGAATTATTTTTCCTGTTATCAATACATATTTGGAACCTAAGGATAATCGGACCATTAACACGTTTTTTAGAAATAACTCGACTCCAACGGCACCTGGCGTCTCTTTTTTTGCAGTGGTATTGTTTTTTCCATTGTCAATACACAGCTAATCGGACCATAAATACGGGTTCTACTAATAACTCGCCAGCGCCACCTAGCGGTTGTTTTAATAGTTATTCTGCTATTCGGAAGGTAGACAAATTCAAAAAACAAATATCATAAAAATCGGTCCAGCCGTTCTTGAGTTATAAATGGTGTAACTAACACGACTTTGTTTTTTATATATAGATGATGGGAAATTTGTATGTATATTTCCCTCCAACAGGGGGGTTTAACCCCACAAAACTCTCCCCTTGTGGCCGGCCCTGCTTGGTACAATTTTTATGGTTAAATTACTGACTATGGTTAAATTACTGACAGGCTCAATTTCAAGTCCGCTTCTTCTGGCTGAAGTTAGCCTTAATGTTCCCTCTCGTGTATCAAGACACTTTTCTCCCCTATTTTCGAAAACTTGTAAAAATAATATTGAATTACACGAGCCACTTCGTTGCTTATGCCAGGATTTTAACTCTCATTCCAGTACATTTGATATATATTCTCTCTCAATAAATGATTGACTAACATAAAGACATAATAATCAGCTGATGGATTGGGTTCTGTAGCTGAATAGTTTTAGATCTCGGCACTTAACAAAGTCCTGCCTCTCATGACTCGGCATAAAAATTGAAGAGAATAATAAAGTTTCGTATGTCATACGGATGGCGGGAGGAGGGAAACCGTAGGGGTTAATCATAAAATAATATGCCGTACATATGTATTATTGTGAATGGCTGTGGTTTTTGTTCATGTTTTATTGCCAACCAACACAAATCAGCTACGCTAACTGTCGGATTTCATACGACAAATATCGATTCGTAATAGGGTACATCACAATGCAAGCGTTTATCGTGCATCGTAACAAAATTCATATTAGGGGGATGCATGCATACATAAATTCAAGAACTGACCATTTGAAACTTTACTATGTTTTACATGTATATGTATTTTTATATGTTTTACATTTTAGACTTCTACAAGAAGGAGTAGAACCATACGAACTGGACAAGTTAACGAGAAGTTTTGGATTTCCGGTAGGCGCTGCAACATTATTCGATGAGGTCGGCATTGATGTGGGCTCTCACATTGCAGTAGATCTGGCGAGAGTAAGCTTTCTATTAGATTTATTGAAACATTTATAATTTATTTTTCACAGGCATTCGGAGATCGATTCAGTGGAGGCAATGTAATGTTGCTGGAGGATTTAGTTCTTTCAGGATTTTTAGGGAGAAAGTCCGGAAAGGGCATTTTCATATATGATGGTGCGAAAGGAAAAGGAAGTCGCCCTGTGAATATGGACGCTCTTAGCATCGTGAAGCAGAAATACTCTCTGGCTTCAAAAGGAGCGAATTCAACCGAAGACTTGATTTTACGTATGGTATCACGATTTGTAAATGAAGCTGTTATATGTCTAGAAGAAGGAATTTTGGATAATCCTTTGGAAGGTGATGTTGGTGCTGTATTTGGTTTGGGCTTTCCTCCTTTTACTGGAGGACCTTTTCGTTGGGTCGACCATTATTCGGCATCGAAACTAGTAAAAAAGATGGAAGGATACGCAGGTTTATATGGTGTGGCATTTGAACCAGCTCACACATTAATGGAAATGGCAAAAAAATCTTCGAAAAAGTTTTATACAAAGGCATGAGCATTTGACACTTCAAATCCTTATCCAAAGTATGTAACTTTAATAAACCA